AGTCATTTTAAGTGATCAAATTATCTTAACTGGCATTTTTCTGAGTCACTAACCTTTACCTCAAGTGTCATTAAGGAACTTGAAGGGGATCAGCATTTGCCACTCCGAAATATGCCTTCCCCGTTTTTTGTCCAAAAGCAGTGAGTAAATTTCCCTTTGTAAAGATCTCTCCCTCTCCAACACCAGGCAGAGAACTACACTGGAGACAACTCTTACTTCCTAAGACAAACCCTCCTAACAATCCCATTGATTATATATTTCCTAGTCACCCTCCCATAAGGTACCCCCCAGGAGCCCCACCCTTTTTCTTAGCCTCTTCCACACTTACCATTTGTTAAAGATGGCATATAAGTCTCCAATTCTAACTGTCTCCTTGAATCACATTTCTTTGTGAACTCCCATGCAGGAATAGGTAATTATTTTTTTCCTGTTAATCTATTATTGAATCTAAAAGGATAGAGGAAGAGTTTTTTCTATTTCCTGCAAATTCAAGATAAGTTTTTATGTTATGTCATATAACTACTTCAAATATTTTAGAACAAGTAGGAGACATAAATAATAAATTAAAAGAGCATTCAGTGCTATGCACTGAATTAAATTCCAGGCAGTAGTATATATAATGTTGAATACTTAAAAGAATCAGTTTTCTTATGTGGAGACATGAGAAAGCAGTGTCCAAATCCACTTAGACTCCAGGTCAAAGGACCAAGAATTCAGAAAATTTTGCTATTTAAAATTCAGTAATTATTTTATGATACATTCACAACACTCCTAAGGAGTCATGGAGTTCCTATTCTCAACGGCTGATGGTGTAGTCTTTTCTGGGGTGAGGGGAGCAGTGGTACATTTAATTTAAATATTTTTTACAGCCGTGTTTTTTACCTATTGGATTTCTCACTAGTCCAAAGAAGTTTCCCCTCCCATCAAGCTACAATTCTTATCATGCTCACCCAGGTTCATTTTCTCCTCCTAGCCTTCCCTGATGTTGAAACAAACACACCACCTCCCCCTTTTCTCCACCAGCAGCCTTTCCCCTCTTTCCTGCTGAAACCAAAGCTGTATCATCCTCCTCCAGGCGAGGGGAAGCCCATCTCCTTCACGAAGACCTCCTGGGATTCCTCCAAACCTTACTCAACATTCTCTTCTTGAACTGACGTCCAGCCTATTTAATTTATAAATGCTCTCCCCGGATAGCATCTGAGGTTAACCAAATGAGGTTAAATATTCCTCAAGGGCAACACTCCTTTCTCCTTTTATTTTGCACAGAAGAGTTCTTTACACTGACTGAGGCACTTAAAGAATGCTAATTAAGGCTGGGCTATTTATCCAACATCTGTGTGCCTCACAGCATGTTAGATGGTGGGAATGAAACTGGAACATACACAGTTTTGCCTCTTTCAGGGCACTTAAAGCAAAGGCCACACACTCATAGCCACGTTTGGGCCCATGTTCTGTTTCACCAGTGCAAGGTTCAAACTCTTCTGAAGTGGCTAGTTCCGAGCTGGGCATCCACCCTGGTTCCCAGGACTTGGTCACTCCCTTGTGTCTGGCACACACATCTGGCTTCACTCACTTGTCACCTTCAGCCCCTTGTGAAACATCTTTAATTTCACAACTCTTAATTCATAAGAAATAAACTCATTCTTAAAGTACAGGCTCTTCCCATATTAGATACTCACTGGAGTTATTTATTACTCCCCAAACTTTCAATATTATTATCATGCTGTGATTGGTTGTATTTCTTCACCACTAACTTGCTGCATGCTGTTCATAGTACATCTTACTATGGAAAACAGACTCCAGTTAAAAACAAAGTCCCCAAATGCTAGGGCAGATGGTATATTAATTAATTAGAGAACGAAAACAGAACTGTTCAGCAACTGTTGTGCTTTCCTAAAAGCAAATGATCTTTAAGCTGAAAGGACAGAAGAAACCTTGTTCCGAGAGAACCAAGACAGAAGCAGAAGAGGTCATTTTAGAAGAATTCATATCTTCAAACTCTGGTGAGTTATATTCCAGGAAGAACTCAACAGATGTGAGCACAGAAATATTCCGACAACCTTTGGGAAAACATAGTAGAGGAGGTGGTATCAAGAGTCTGGAAACTCAGACACATTCCCCCCCCAAAATTTTACAACTGAAACCAACACAAAGTAATAAAGGCCCTGGCCGGTGTGGCTCAGTTGGCTGGAGCATCCTAGAGACCGAAATGTTGTGGGTTCAATCCCCAGTCAGGGTGTGTATGAGAAAGCAAACCATCTCTCTCCTCTCCTTCTTCTCTCTTTCTGAAAGCAATGAAAAAGTGTTCTTGGGTGAGAATTAAAAAAAATAATATTGAAGGTGAACTGTAATTGAAAATATCAAATAAAAATTTTAAGAAATTCTGGATCAATAAAAATTAGTTATCTTTCTTTGAAAAAAAAAAAAAACAACTGAAGGACACAATTAGAATGCCTAGGCATTATAGACCAGTTAAGTTCAATGTGAATCTCTGGCAAAATTCAAGATTTAATCAGTAAACAGGGCACATTTGGGGACAAAATATTAGGGATGTTTGAGAACTAGCAGTTCACTCAGAAATAATCATATTGAGCTAATGTCATTTACTTTTGTGATGGATCCTCTAGAGAATACTCAGGATCTTAGCAACGCATTTGATTAAAATTTTTCTTATGATGTCCCTAAGAAGAAGACTGATTTATGGGCTAGAATCACCTGATAAACAAGCACAGTACTGAGTTCAGCTGATTCACTAATTTGCCTCGTGGTACCTACTGAGCTAACCAGATTCCCAACCAGTACTGCACTTGGCACTCTCAGCACACTGACTTCTAACAAGAACCCTGGAAGGTACATGTTACTGTCCCCATTTTGTTAACATGGTTAAGAGGTTTCTCAAGGTCATGAAGCCAGTAGGTGTCAGGGTCAGGCACCAAAAGTCCAGGACCATTTCTACTGCGCCTCGGGCTTCCATATGTGCCACCATAGCAAAGGGACCTGCTCCATGTATTATCAATGACTGGAATGTCTGGTCAACAAAAACACAAAATGTGCAGGTGGCACAAAACCGAAAGGCAGAATTAATATGACGGATGCCACAATCAAGATTAAAACATGTTTAACAAACTGGAAATTGGAGGCTTAAAGTAATATAAGAGTAAAAAACAATGTTGGCATTCAAGAAATTTTAATTGCATAAGTATTAGAATGACTGTATTTGAAGACAGAAACTCATTGCATTCTGCACTGTTCAGGTTAGAATGAATTACTGAACTCAATTTGGGGCTAAGGGTCTTTAGGAGGGAGGGAGGGGGAGAGGGGGGAGAGAGGGGGAGAGGGGGGAGAGGGGGGAGAGGGGGGAGAGAGGGGAGAGGGGGGAGAGGGGGAGAGGGAGGGAGGGGGAGAGGGAGGGGGAGAGGGAGGGAGGGAGGGGGAGAGGGAGGGAGGGAGGGAGGGAGGGGGAGGGAGAGAGAGAGAGAGAGAGAGAAAGAGATCTTAATTAAGGAAGGAAAGAAATGATTACTATTTAGTGAAGATAACTAACTAACGTTTTCTGACTTCTGGGTAACTATACCAAGTAGTTTATGAAGATAATCTCATTTCGTCCTCACAATAACCCAATGGGTAGATAGAGTACAGTATCACTTCCTACTGTGCAGATGAGAAGTTGAGGCTCAGGAATCTGAAAGGCTGTCAAGTAAAGGAGACAAAACTTGTTTTGTACCACTTTAGACCTTTAGTTTCTTAACTGTTTTTCGTTTTGTTCTTTGGTCACAGACTCCTTTTAGATGACAGCATTGGAACTCTGCTAAAAAAAAAAAATCTGCATATGCTTTCACAGGTGGGGGGGCAAGAAGGAGATCGGCAAACACAGGACTACTGAGAAACAGGCCCAAGGAAGCAATGGTCAGTTCTGTGTAAACAAGGATTTCCGAACAGTAACAGAAAGGAGGGGCACCTCAAAATGCAGTGAGCTCCCTGTTGCTGAAGTTTCCATCAAAATGTGGTTAGTCTGCCAGGAGTTCTATAGAGGATATATTACAATGGACTGGAGGTTGGTCTATGATTTTAAAGTATGTTTTTGCTGTAAGATTGTGGGCCTTAATAAGTAATTTTTGTTTGATGGCAAAACAAGGAAGTTAAAACTGAAGTTATTGTGCCAGACTGTTCTGCTGAATATGTCAAGCAGAATACCGAAATAATGTTATTCTTCACCTACATATGATAGCTGTAGCAGGTACGTGGAAACAACCTCATCCAAAGAAAAAGGGTATACTCAAATGTTGATCTTGATGAAACTTATACTTTGTCGTAATAAAAATATTACTTATTCCTCTGAATCCTTAATTAAAATTTTCCCTAAGATAAATAACCTACGCACCAGATCCTAAAAAGATAGAGTCTCTGATGAGAACATTTCCTAGTTCGTAATTTTATGTTAACTCACATCCATGAAGGATGGGGAGGGGTAACAGAAGAGAACTCCAACTATTCTGCTTTGCTTCAGATCCTTTTGCTAACGGCTGAGGGATTTTACCTGTCTATTCTGATACATTTCCCATTTGCATCATAATTCCCCTCCAGATTCAGCCTCCCACAGCTCTAAAGAGTACAGGAATTAATACTTTGCTCATCATATACTATTCAGGGCACAAGCCTGACAGCTAGGCATACAAATTAAATGTTCATAAGCAAATCTTTACCTGGAAATCTTCATTCAGTCCTCGGGTATAAAGGAGGAAAGATGGTGAGAATGCAACTTATAATGCCTTTCACCTGGGGGCTCAGACGGACGTGGGAGGGGCGGGGGCTAACTCTCCCCAATTAGGGGACCGAGGCGCGAGGCGAGGTCTCAGGCAGCTGGCCGACAAGGGTCTGCTGGGCTCGAAGCCGCCAGTGACTCACAGGTGTCTGCCATTGAAAAATCCAGCCAGCAAAGCTGACCTGCGGAGACTGACACACACACGCACCCGTGGCGCCCCTCCCAGATGTTCACTTACCGAGGCAGGACCTGGACAGCCGCGCGCCGGTTGCACGTCGGGACAGCTGCGGGGCCGAGAAGGCGCCCCGCGGTCTCCTTGCCCAACGCGGTCCCGGAGCCCCCGGCGCCGGCGCTGCCCCGCCGGCGCTGCCCCGGGGCGCGCTGGCGTCAGGGCAGGGGGGAACCGAGGGCAGTCCCGCAGTCAGGGCAGCGGCGCCGCCTCCTCGCCGCGCCCGGCTCAGCCAGGGGGCAGCAGTTAGAGGACGGGGCGTCCTTCGGCCGCGCTCCCGGCCCCTCCTCCGGCCGCCGTCGCCGCCACCGCGCCCGCCGCGCGCACGCCGCACCCGGCCGGCTGGGTCCTGCGGGTGGCGCCCGCCCGGCTCAGGGGCCTGCCCCGTGCGGGCCACGTGCAGTCGACGGGGCGGGGCGGCGAGACCGGGCGGTAGGCCACCCCCCGCCCCAGTCCACCCCCAAACACTATCCAGGGTGCTGCCGCCTCCCAGCAGAAATTACACCCCCGTAAAGTTCAAATAAGACGTAAGCGCGCTAGTCACTTTACTGCTCCGGCCCCAGGCCCCTCATCTGAGCCACCTGGGCCTCTACCTTTCCTGGGCTCTGCCCAATGAAGAGGAGGGGCCGCCCTCGAGGCCCTGCGCTGGGACGGCCGGGCCTGGGCGGGAAACAGGTGCGCACAGCGCGCCGCACAAGTGAACTCGTAGCAGTCTCACCTCAGCCTTCTCAGCTAAGGGACCTGGCGCTTGGGTCCAGACTTAGCAGCCGAACATGCTTCGACCTCAAAGCTCACATTTTGCAGAGCTAGGCCAGGGACTCTGCCAGTCCGAACTAGCTCTCAGCGTGAGTATGCTATGCAAAAGTGCTTCAAGTACTTAAACATTTAGAAGACACACCCATTTTGTACTTCTCTATCCAAAAATAGTCGAGAACATTTTCAGGATTGTTTCTCCTTAAAACAAAATACCTCTACAGGCCATTTTCTCACTCGCCAAGGTCACTACCTCAAAACATGGGCATTACTCAGTTGTGATTCCTTGCATTTTCCAGGTGGTGTCTGCATCTGCCAGCGTGATTCCTCGTAAAAGCGAGCAAGCAAGCAAACAAACCAATCCTACAAAAGCACCACTGTATGTTAGTTCGTTCTACAATGGATTGGTCTTGCAAAATCATGCGTGAAGGGGCCTTAGTGATGGACAACTTCACCAGACTCCTTTGCAGATGAGGACCCTGTGGCCCACAGTCCAGCAGCAAAACTAACTGTGAAGAAGAAAGACCGGAACCTACAAAGCTCACAATCTGTACACTAACATGAGACTTACCTCTCTAAAGGTATAACATAGTGAAGAATATGCCTACATTGAAGAGGAGTCAAAACACATAAATGACACAAAATTTAGCCCAGAATCTTAGCTTTTAAATGCATTCAAGATTTTTTTTTACTATGATGAACTGAACTAAGGTAACACATACAAGCACAACAGGCCAGAAATGTAATTTCTCTTCATGAAAATATGATTAAATTGGGGTGGGTACATTTTGACCATCATAGAATGTGATTATACTTACATTGATTTATCTGGTAATCATTTTTAAAGTACACAAACTGATTATACTGAGGTAAAACAAATGTTTGTTTTACATATTTCAGGCATATCATGCTAAATAATTATGACAAATGCAAGGATCCACCTTTACACCTAATTCTCACTTATGGTATGTCCTTTGCTCTTCCCTCTCCCTTCTGAAGCTTGAGGGTTTCACCAACCTAGTACCAGAACAATCCACAGAAGTCCTCTGGGTTCCACAGTGAGCGATCAATGTCAGTCCTTGATGTGCTCAAGACAAGAAAGGAGAAACTTAGAAATGAGCCCTTTGTACTTCCCAGTTACCAGAGCAGAAGTGGATGAGGAGTCTCAGCCTCCACCAGAAAAGAAATAACTTACATACATACACATTCCTGTCTTTCACTCAAAGATACTGTATCATCTTTATCAAGTGGTAGTTCCCCTCCAGCCCTTTTCATTTGGATTCAGTTCTTTTCAGTTCAGTTTGTTTGTTTAGGAGCTGATGAGGGAGTGGGGCCTAAACATAGCACCAAGTTGTTCTGCTGGGCCCCTTTACTCGGGACACTGCTCCCACCAGATCCGGGCCAGGCCGTCCCTCCGTCATTCTGGGGCTGGCCAAGGTGGAGAAGAACTTTGGAGCAGTGTTCTCCCCTCTCTGAGGGGCCTCTCCCTGACCCTGGCCTTATACTCTGCATCCAGACTGAGTCTGAGGTGGTCCTTCTAGCTGGGCTGCAGGTCAAGCCAGGCTTCCCTATGGCTCCTGGGCAGTCTTGGGACTTGGCCCCCTTGGGCCCTGTACCCACTTTGGCCTCAGAATAATTTGATTCTTCAAGAGCCTTTGAGAGGACAACTGCCCCTAGCCTTAGGACTTTGAGAGGTGAGCTAGGCCTTAAAGTCTGCTAGGACTGCAGGCCGTGCTTCTGGTCCAGAGTGGGAGATGGCAGCCTCTACTGGTGGGCTCAGAATGGGTGGCTTTCTTCATGGCCACCCCAGAGTGGAACTGGGAGTCAGGGCCCAACCTTCCTGCCCTCCTGTTGTCCTCTTGCCCTGGCTGGGACAAGATGGGAAGGAAGTTGGAACCCACAGCTCCTCCAACTGGTAGTGGCAGAGACCAACTGTACGATTTTTAAAGTGTGCTGAATATAACTTTTAAACTAGAATGTGGTTAGGTTGAGGGTGTCAGGGCTATAATAAGTGTTCAGTGGGTTTTCTTTTTTTTTTTTTAAAGATGAAAAATAGTGAAAAAATGTAAGAGACTTAGAGGGCAACATTAATGTTTATCCTGTGTGAAATTAGAGTTTCAGAAACAGAGGAGACAGAGAACAGGGTATAAGCTATATTTGAGTAGGTAATGGTGAAGAAATTTCCAAATGACGAAAAACATCAAGCTACAGATTTCAGTTCTTCTGTGAATACCAAGCAAGACAAATTGTAATAAAATAACATCTAAGTACATTATAGTAAAACTGCTGAAAAACAAAGACAATTAGAAAATCTCAGAGCAAAAGGGGAAAAAGAGACACATCATCTTCAAAAAACAGCAATTGATTGATAGCTGACTTTCCACAGAATTGAAAGCTCAAAGACAATAGAATGACAACTTCGAAGCACTGAAGTATATGACCCATCAACATGCATTTTTTCATGAGCCTGGGTAGGCAAATATTACTTAAACATGACACAAAAGCATATCCACAAGAAAAATATCGATAAACAATATTATTAGAAAAGAACTTTTTTTCATTAAATGATAGCATTAAGAATTAAAATGCATAACTTACCACAGGTAAAGTTATTTGCAATAAAGTTATCTTACACATGACTTATGTATAAAATAAAAAGAACTCCTGCAAGAAAAGGACAAATAACCCAGTTTTTTTAAAATGGGCTAAAAACTTTGCAAAGGAGTATAGGGAACCGTTCTTCATGGCGTGGGAATGTAGCCCAGCTCCCACTTGGAAAGGCCAGTGGGGAGTGAGGCCTGGCACACAGGATCATGCCCACAGAGAGGTTCTCCCGTGGGGAGTCAGGCCTGCATTGTACCTGGGCCACTTTGAGACTTGCTTTTGCTAAAACTCCCTCACCCTGAATTGAGGCAGCAAGTGCTTGCTATAACTTCCTAAAATCTGAGCTAAACCTCCCAAGTATGGAGTGTAACTGGTTCAACCACTTTTCCTCTTGATCCGTAACATCCTTCTCTTTGAAGTAATTAGCAACATTCTTTCCTTTGTTATCTATAAAAGGTAATCACCTACAGTGAACCTGTGCATAGTAAATGAGAACCATCCTCATGTAATATACCCAGAAAAACAATAAAAGCCTGTCCAGGCCAGGGCCCTCTCTCTCTCTCTCTTAGAGAGTGGCCATGCTGTCCCTTTTTCTCCACAGGACTCTGTAGTCTGTGTATATTTGTTCATAGCTGCCACAACACATGGATCCTGCCGGCAAGGATCCACATCAAAGGAGGATATATAAATGGCTAATAAATATATGAAAGGGTACTCAACTTTATTAGTCACTGCAGAAGTACAAAATAAGACCACAATAAGATGCCACTACATACCCGTTAGAATCACTAAAACACCAACTGTTGGTTAGGATGGTGAACTGGAACTCTTATATACTGCAAATGGGAGGAAAAATTGGCATACAACCACTTGGAAAATGCTTGGCATTATCACCTAAAGCTAAATATATGCACCAAGAGACAAGAATATTCATAGCATCATTATTTATGCTAGCTCCAAAACTGCAAATGTTCACCAGGATTAGAGCCAAATCTGGCAATTAGAGTGTACTAAGTGAATATAAGTTGTATTATTACTATTCTTTTTAGCCTATGAAAGTCTTCTCATATTTTGTAGATTCAAAACCTGCCCAGCTGAGTATCAATAACATTAACTCAGAAATATCTAATTAAATAGAATAACTGAAAGTGCCTAAATAAAATACTACTTACCTCGAGGATTGTAACAGTTTATGGTAAAGCGTGTGGTGGTGGCCAGAGGGAAGGAGGGGCAAGAGTAGGGTGGGGGGAGGGGGGCCAAGGGGGAGGGAATGAGGACATCTGTATTAGTAAAATAAGTAATAAAAGTAATGTAAAAAAACCACGTGGTATATTTCATCACTGTCTTTTTCAAAAATCTTTCAAATACTAGATTCTAACAATAGGGATTACTTAGATTCACCTTTATTTTTAAGAGGGGTATACTCTGTTACACTGAAATAAAGCATCTGCTTCCTATTGAATTGCAAAGCTCAGGTTTTCAAGTAAAATCTTGCAAGGAGACAAAGCAAGGTGTTGGTTTATTATTTCACTACAAATCACCAATTAACCTGTTCTGTGTCACAGATAAAAGCTGAGAAAATAATCTGGAGTTACCAGGTTCACCCCAGTGCCGGCACGGCTCTCATTCAGAGGTTGTGAACGCAGCCCTGAGTGTCTGTGTGGGTCTCAGGGCCTTACTCTCCCAGAGCCTCTCTGCTCCCCTTGTAAGTCATGGCTGAAAACATGTAATCGATACAATCCTAATCCCCAAGAGCTTTGATTCTAAAATTGGGAGTGCAAAATGAAAACTGGAATTTAGTATAATGTTAGGGTTGAAATTCTTATTTTTTCTTAACATGGGAAAACAAGAGTCCATTCAGAAAGAACCTAGTTACAATCTCATGGATTGATTTAGGAGCTCTTCCCCCATCTTCCCATTACATTTTATGTATGTATGCATAACAATAAATACTTCATTGTTATGGATGGTTTGTATTTATGTGTCATCACTG